TATTCACTGTCATGATATATCTCAGAGCTGTACTGTGTGAACTGTGTTCTTTCCACCTTCAAGAAGATAACAGTTACCCAAGTTTGTGGAATGAAGGGAAAAACACATCTTCTTTTAGGACCTTTGTTGTCCATCAAAATTTTATCTTTCAAAGGGAACCAATATGTACTTCACATAGTTTTAATAAAGAAAATAGTGTGCCTATATTAAATCAATTGTAATAGTTCTCCAACAGAAAATCAAATAGCATGATAGATTAATCTGTGTGGCTTTGTGAATTTTATTTTTTTAATTTTCTATGCTCCAATTCCTTCTACTTTCTTTTTTCTGTAGAGAAAGTATGGTTCAGATATTTGGCGGATTGTGTTGTTAGGGTCACTGCATTTATTTATCTTTATACAAACTTATTATGCTTAATTTCTAAGTATAAAAATATATTTAAGCTGATTATTTTTCTGTGTCTGATCAGCATCAATGAGCTTAAGATTGTTTTCCAGAATCTAAAAACTGTTGATGGGCTCCTCTCTCCACTATGTAAGGAGTTGGTAACTATGGCCTACAGACCAAATCTGGCCCACCACTTTTTTTGTACATTCAAGAGCCAAAAATGGTTTTACATTTTTTGATTGATTAAAGAAAATCAAAAGAATAATATTTCATGACACAAAAATTATATAACATTCAAATGTTAATGTCCATAAATAGTGTTTAATTGGAACACTCATTTGTTTTCAAATTATTCATGGTTGGTTCTTGCTACAATGGTAGTGTTGAGTAATTGCTGCAGAACTATATGGCACACAGAGCTGGGAATATTATTATTTGACAATTTACAAAAAAATGTTTGTTGACTTCTGCTGTATATAAAGTATCTAGATTGATCAAGATAAAGAAAATATTTCAAGGAGAAAGAAATGTGCCAAACAGTAAATAATGCAAAGGTTTGGATATTGTAATTATGATCATAGAATTCATGACTTTCTAAAACATATTGGTATTTACAAAATAATGTAGTTGACATTTGTAGTTATATGCTGCCAATACTGATACTGTTCCAATTATGCACACACTATGCTTTGGATTTTATTAATTTCATTTTTTTATGAGAATGATTACTCAAACCACACATAGAAATTAATACTATTTTTCTATCCTCACAACCCATCACTGTTTGGTTTTTCTTGTTTCCTGGTAAGTCATTTTTTATCTCTCTTCATTATTTCTCATGACAATCATTTGAAAGGATTTTTAAAACAAGAAAAAAACAAATTTATAATTGGAAGTTTAATCTTTAAAAATATCTTATTAACCAAAGAATTATTTAATATGCAAAATTTAGTAAAAAGTAAATTTAAAATTGTTTTTCTCATGACTTCAATCAATTGGATTTTTCACCCATGAGAGTATCAGTGTTTTGGAATATTTCAGTAGGACATTTCAAATATTTACTGAAAATTAACTTATTTCTATAAAAAAATATATTCTTTTATTATCTACCCAATGTAAAGACACTGCTTCTTTCCTGAAAACTTCTATATTTCATAGCAGAGATAAGATTCCATTATTCAGTTTGCTAGTATAGTATTAGATATTAGCAAGTTAATTTGGATATTATTTCATTGTTAAATGTTAGTTCTAACTTTGTCACAAAGTCAGTTTTCTATATTCCCAATCTCAGTTGAATTCACTGATGTTGCCTCAAGGACCCATGTTCCACAGCATATTTATAATGTAAAAAAAAGGATAATAAAGAATGTCTAAATGATGTGTTTGTGAACCTAAATGATATTAGTACTGATATAACAACATTTGCCATCCCAAAGTATTTATTATTTTGATTGTAAAAAATTTATGTTGGTCATGTAAAGATGCTATATTGTATTGTAAAGATGATATATTGTCTAAGGCTAGCAAAACAATGATAATTATATGTCAAATGACTGGAAAACAGAGGTAAGCTTTCTTAAATATGGGTAAAATCAGGGCAAATTGTATTGGCCCTAAAAGAATTCCTATAATCTTCTAAATATTAAAACAGCAAGAAAGTACTATTAATGTTTGTTTTTCTTTGTACTGTCCTAGGTTTTTATTCTTAAAATTAACTCTTGAAAATAAATGGTAAAACTCACTCAAATTATTTTGAAAATATATTTATATTTTTATAAAAAATAACAGTCATGACCGCAAAAAGACATAAAACTTGATTTGTGTAATATCCATGCCTAAAACTTTCTGTGTGTTTTGTTTTGTTTTGTTTTTCAGCATGGTTCAAATCACTTTAATTTATTAAATGTTTTCCAATGCCTCTTATATGCCAAACACTGTGTTAGGGTCTGAAGAGAATAAAAAGTTGGTGGATATGTAGACCTGGTTCTCAAGGCACTCACAGTCCAACCATTGATGTAGAATGTAGACAATATTTACAATGGAAAATGTATTAGGTGGGGTCATGAGGAAGAATATTTAAAGTGGTAGTTTGAGATCTGAGTAAAGGGAAAACATTGAATAACATGATTATAATTTGAACTTTATTCTGTAGTCATTAAAAACTTTTGAGGAAATGGCAATTATGATTATGGTTGTGCTTAAAACCCATAGGAAAAAAAAATTGAGCAAAGTTGTCTTTTGTCTTTGTTTGGTTTTATTGTTATTTTTCTCCTTTGAACTACTATTCTCATCTATGTTAAGTAATGGGGAGGAGATTAAACTAATAATATTGACTATTGTATAATAATGACAGTTTGACACCACCATCATTCCATTCTTTCTTGAAATGTTGTATTGTTTTTGTTGTTATAGACAGACTTTCCAGTAAACATAGCAAACTGGAATATTTTTATGTCAATGTTACAAGGATATAACAAATAGAAATGATGATTTACATGACTTTTACACTGAATTTATTCAGTAACATAATTAATTCCATAACTTGAGTCCATATTTTATTCCTGAATTTCCATAGTTTTATTCGCCTTAATATGGACCTTGTCCCCTTAAGCTTTAATTTTTTTTTAATTACAAAACCCCTCTAGATCCCATTACAGTATTTTTAAAATTTAAGATTATGTTTTGGATTAGTTTGCGCACAGCTGCAGACAACTTCTTCACAAGTCTAAGAAACATGTACATGGCCAGAGAAAAGTCATGGTTTAGCTCACCCTGGTTTAGTTAATTTAATGACTTCCACAAACTCTTCATAAGGATAGCTGTCTTGTTAAATTTTCAAATTGGTTCAATATTTTTCTGCAATGAACACTCATAGAAAATCTCTAACCTTAATCTTGACCTTCAGCATTGTTAACAATGTATGAAATAATCTGGAAGTGAGAGAAATAGGGGTTATTACTCTTTGCATCTATCATTCTTTTATCAGAAAAGCAGAACTACTATGAGAATTATGGGGTAGTGGACTCATTGTATGAATAAGATCTGACATAGTCGTGGAAGATGCTGAGGAATAATTAGGAGGCTGGAAAGAAGAAGAGCTGAACGTAGAGCAAGGGAGAGCATCTACTTCTACCATGTATAAGCACAACAACATTCAAAGTGCAATAGCTACTGCTTAATTTCCCATTTCCAAACGCTGTGCAAATTTATTTTTTCCTTAACTAATCTAGGAACTCTACAGAGAAGGGGACTCTGAGAATCACAGTTTCAGCTTAGCCCAGTTGACATAGTATAAAACAATCACGCTGCTATTTTTAAGATCATTTACATATTCATTTTTTCAACTATTATTTAATAACCACATACTACTTGCCAGGCTCCTTGTTAATTGATGGAGATATAATTCTAAACAAATATGCCCTCTCTCCTGAAAATTCAACTTTTTTTCAGGGACAAAAATATAAGAAGCAATTAAAATTAAAGTATAAGGAAATATATAGGTAAAAATGGAGCAATTAGCTAAGCCTCTTCCAGAAGAATTCACCAGGGACACCTTCCTAGGCAATGAGACTTCTAAACTGATACCTGGTGGATGGGCAGATGTGATGTACAGGGGAGCAAAGGGGGGCAAGAAGGGAAAGTACTGTGTGAAATCCTCTTGGTCCGAGAGCTATATTATGGTGTCTTGGGAGAACTGAAAAAATGTTCAGAATCAATGGACTACTGAGTCCCCAGGTAGAATGAGTAACCTGTAATGAACAAAGTACTGGGTGTTTTTCTTTGTAGGATTTTTTTGTAAATATAATTAATTTTATTCTTGCTCCCATACTCTTTTTGGTAGTAATTCAGTTACTGAGGATCATCTTTTTAAAAGTTTCTCTGACCCTAGATAAGAGTATGTTTCAATTGGTATCATTGTCTCACAGCAGATGTTTTAGAAATAATTAAATCAGGTAAGAATGCATTTTTAAATCTCAATTTAAATGTGTCTAAAAGTATAATATGAACAAGAACACAAGTTTAAGCAAACTTCTTTTCTTTTTTCATGTTCTACCAACAGCAGGTCCTTTACTTCTGGGTGGTCACTATTGTGGTCTTTGTTTTTATACAAAGGAAAATATAGGAGGATTCTCCTATAAACTAAGCTACAGTGGAAGTTTGCTTAGCATTAGACAACTAAAGAAACCACAGTCGTGTATTGCTTCCTGTGTTTATTAAAAGCATCTTCAATCTCTCATTATAATGATATGCTGCACTATTCAAAACTGAAAAATTGATATATTTGTATGGAAGGGGAAAGAGAGAATGCTTCACCTTAGTTTCAAATACCCTTACTACAAACACTAAGGTATATATGCAATGAAGCACAGTGTATAAAGAAATAAAGCAAAAGCTTTCCTCTATTTCTATAATAACTAACTGGGAGTTTTGTGCAGTTTTAAAAGTGTTTAAATGTTTGTTTTAGGTGTATTAGCCTATGTTAGGAGAATATAGGAGGATCTTGTATAGTAATGTAACTGATGAGTCCACAAATATCAAATCAATAGGACACTAGTATAGAAATAGATAAGCAGATTAATGAAGATGTGTAGAAAACACAAGCACAGGTTTCAGTGTTGTATGAAAGGAGAGAAGGCTATCACTCCCCTTAACAAGGAAAGAAGAGGCTCTCAGGCCTAACAACACACAGAGATAATTAGATTAAGATTTAAAATTAGTATTTTTAGTATCTCTCTTTTTTTAAATTAAATCTTTATTGTTCAGATTATTACATTTGTTCCTCTTTTTTCCCCCCATAACTCCCCTCCTCCCAGTTCCCGCCCCACCCTCCGCCCTCACTCCCCACCCACTGTCCTCATCCATAGGTGCACGATTTTTGTACAGTCTCTTCCCACATCTCCCACACCCCTTTCCCCCCCAAGAATAGTCAGTCCATTCCTTTTCTATGTCCCTGATTCTGTTATGATCACCAGATTATTTATTCACTTGATTCTTAGATTCACTTGTTGATAGATGCATGTTTGTTGTTCATAATTTGTATCTTTACCTTTTTCTTCTTCTTCCTCTTCTTAAAGGATACCTTTCAGCATTTCATATAATACTGGTTTGGTGGTGATGAACTCCTTTAGCTTTTCCTTATCTGTGAAGCTCTTTATCTGACCTTCAGTTCTGAATGGTAGCTTTGCTGGATAAAGTAATCTTGGTTGTAGGTTCTTGGTATTCATCACTTTGAATATTTCTTGCCATCCCCTCTGGCCTGCAAAGTTTTTGTTGAGAAATCAGCTGATAGTCGTATGGGTATTCCCTTGTAGGTAACTGAGTTTCTTTCTCTTGCTGCTTTTAAGATTCTCTCTTTGTCTTTTGCTCTTGGCATTTTAATTATGATGTGTCTTGGTGTGGTCCTCTTTGGATTCCTTTTGTTTGGGGTTCTCCGCGCTTCCTGGACCTGTAAGTCTATTTTTTTCACCAGTTGGGGGAAGTTTTCTGTCACTATTTCTTCAAATAGGTTTTCAATATCTTGCTCTCTCTCATCTTCTGGCACCCCTATAATTCTGATGTTGGTACGCTTGAAGCTGTCCCAGAGGCTCCTTACACTATCTTCGTATTTTCGAATTCTTTTTTCATTTTGCTTTTCTGGTTGGGTGTTTTTTGCTTCTTCGCATTTCAAATCTTTGCCTTGATTCTTGCCCTCCTCTGATCTGCTGTTGGGAGTCTGTATAGTATTCGTTATTTCAGTCTGTGTATGCTTAATTTCTAGTTGGTTCTTTATCATAACATCGAGGGTCTCATTAGATTTCTTGAGGATCTCACTACATTTATCGGCGGCTTATAGACAGTTCTTAAGAGACCTTAAAAGTGTGGTTCTGAACTCAATATCCTCCATTGACAGTTTTGTCCTGTTTCTTTGTCTCCGCATTTTTTATGCTTTCTTGGTGCACCCCCCTAGTGGTCTTTGTGCGCAGTCTTGTTGTAGTTAAGCTTTGATTGTTGTTGGCAATACCGGGGGTGATTTGACCTCCAGGCTAACTGGCTATGAGAGTCTAAAATTAGTATTTTTAAATGAATAGATTTTAAAATAAATAAATAATTGGATCCATAGAGCAAGACACTATGAAAATGTTAAATTTAAAAACAACTAATGTGAAGTTCTAAAAGGAAATAAAAACATTTTAATTAAAGGAGAAAAAAATTCAATGGGCAGATTAACATTAAAGAAACTGAAGAGAAAATTAATAATTTGGAATATGGAATTGGAGAAAGTACCCAGAGTGCAGTATAAAGATATAAAACTTGGAAATTATAAATGACACACAAAAAATATAATGAGATGGTGCAATGTACATCTACTACAAGTTTCAGGACAGAATAGAGAGAATGACAGTAGGAGATACTTGAAAAAATAAATATTTTTAAATAGATGAAAGTCATGAATCTTAATATTTGTGAAGCAAAATGAGTTAACAGCAGGATAAATAAAAAATAAACCATCACCCAGACACAAGTTAGTGAAAATGTATAACACTAAAGACAAAGAGAAAATCTTCTAAACAACTGTAGAAAAAGTCTAGATCACCTAGGAAGGAAAAACAATTATACTGACAAGTTAAAATGTTTGCAGTAGTCTAAAATGTCAACAACAATAGAAATTAAAAGACAATAAGAAATAGCTTAAACTTTCAAAGGGAAAATAAATGTTATGCTATTTATAGTATTCAGTTGTATCCTTCTTATGACTTTTAAACCTGATTTATTGGTCTATTATTGAATGATTTTTCTTCTTTGGAAGAACTTAAGTTGATATTTCTACTTATTACTTATCAAATACACTCTCCTTTATCAAAATAGACTATTTTGTCTTACCAGTTAATTATTACTTTTTTAATTGTCCTATCTACATTTTTGTCAAATTAATGTTAGCATTTCTGTTTTAAAAGCCAATGCTGTAATTTCTAGTAACATTCAGGATTTCTGGTTGTACCCAATTTGTTTGCCGTGGATATAAAAATATATTTAGTGTTTTCAGTTTTGCAGGTGAAAGCATTTTCATAAGTGAAGTACAAAGTGCCATCAACATTATTGGCACCCATTTTATTCCCTTTGGGAAGGACGAATCATCAGTAACCGAATGTAATTAATAATGACACCTAAGATTCTAAAACAGCTTTTGAAAAGCACAGAAGTTTCCACAGATGAGCTCAAGAAGTGCGTGGTACACCTGAGATGTAAGAAGGCATCAACTAAAGTAACGGGTACCGGTTACTGTTTGAAGTATAACTAGCTTAGCCTGGAGTCAAGGAGATTGTTCAACAATGACAAGAGAGAAATCAGTAGAAACATGAAAAATTCAACCCATCTAAAGGACATTATATTCATGTATGCTAAATAAAACATTTTGATTGTTAACTGAACTTTATAAATTGTCTGGGTGCTCCATACTGTACAAAAACTAGCATAAAATAAGTAGCACCATTAGAGATAAGATTCATATTTGAAGCATGAAGATTTATTATTCACCAGATCTATTCTATTTGCTTTGCCAAAATAGGTCTAATATTGGACTATTACAAGTTCACAAAAAACCTTTTTTTTTTTTTTTTGGCCATGAGAAATTGAAAGTTGCATTAGCTGAACACATTCTGTAGCATTCCCTTCTGGTGATTCATTTCAAGTCAAGACATATTAAGTTTCTATTGTGTACCAGGCACTTTGTTAGATTCTGGGGTCAAGAGTTCAAGACACAGATATCAAAAATAAAACTGACTTAAAGAGGCCTGCCATTTAAGGAGATAACAGACATGCAAGCAGCCAGATACAGGGTAGGATGAAATCTGCCTTAAAAAGCATTCAAATAACATATACTGTGGTCATTCGGAGCATAAAGTGATCAATGCTGTCTGAGAGGACCCAACAAAGCTTTAGGCAGGAGACATTTGCATTTGATCTGAGGTGAGCAGGAATGCTTTCTGAAGGTGGAGAATAAGTAGGTGAGCAGAGCAGATTAGATTACCTTAAATTAAACTTTTGATAGATTCCAATATAGTCAGTTGAAAGAAAAACTTAAGGTTTTGCTATTTTCTTGGGGAAAATGATATATATATATGTTGTTAATTGCTTACTAGGTGCCTGACATTTTACTTCAACTTAGAATTATTGCATTCAATTATTTCATTCAATATAATGTGGTATGATGTAGGTATCATGACCCTATTTTACTGATTCAGAAACTGAGGCTCAGTGAGTCTATTACAGAACTTTTACTGAAGGTGACTTATCAATCAGTGGCTATCTTAGGTTTATATTGTCAGATAACAAATAATCATAAACTTAGCAGCTTAAAACAATTCCAATGCATTATCTCACAGTCCTGTAGCTTAGAAGTACAGATGCAGGTTATCTCCTGCTCAAGGTCTCTCCAAGCTGAAATCAAGGTTTTAGGCAAGGGTGATTCTTATCTGAAGTTTGGGAACCTCTTCCACGCTCATTTGTTGTTAGTGCGATTTATTTCTTCCTGGCTGTGAAGAAGGTCCCTGTCTTCTTGCTGGCTGTTGACTGGGGACCACACTTAGCAGCTAGAGACTGTCCACAGTTCCTTGCCACCTGACTACATGTGGGCCTTTGCTTTCTTCCAAGCCAGGAGGAGCCTGGACACACCTCTGTAGGCTGTTATGGTACAGTCTTAGAAAATGTAAGGTAATCACTGAGTGACAATCCTATCACCATTTGGCATAAAATTCAATCTAAAAAAGATTTACTGTCCATCATGTTCACAGGTTCCACTCACATTTGAAGTGAAGGGACTATAAAAGGTGTGTATACCAGGAGCAGAAATCTCAGAGGTCCCCTTTGAATTCTGCTTACCTTGCAACATACACTGACTGGCTTTCCTAGATTCCCAAAGACTCATCCCAATGCAGCATCAGCTGTATTTCAAAATCACATCACTGAAATATAAACTTATAAATCTCATCAGGTCAAGCCACAAATTGTATCTAAATCTCCTTAAAGTAAAACAACAACACAAAATAATCTCATCCTTTTAGTCATCTTAATCAGGTGCAGATGAGGCTCCTGCTATAATCCATAAATACAACTCCTGGGGCACCATTCCTCTTAATCTGTAAACCTATAACAGTAAAGAGGCAAGTTTATCTTCCCTCAACATTCCCCCCCGCCCATACTTGTTGAGACAGGCATAGCATTAAAGGTATGAACACTCTGGTTCATAAAAGGGAAATGGAAGTAAAAAGGAGTCACTGGTCCAAAGCAATATCCTAATCCAGTTGGCAAATGGGAGTTTCTTGATAAGTTTGTAAAGACTGAATAATGCCTCCTGGCTCTCAGTTCCACCCTCTGAGTACTTGGTTTTACTCTCTGAGTCACCTTTCCTTTTTATGAAAATCAGCACATGTTTGCAATTGAGAAGTAACTCTCATCAGCCAGCCTCCTGCCTTATTTTTGGAGATGGGGGTGTGGGGTGTGTGTGTGTGTGTGTTTCTGACAACCTCCTTTTGTTTCTATTTCTTCTGCCCTTTTCAGGTCAAACTTGAGAGTTTGTGGGCCTTCCATAGGTTTCCATACCATTTGCCCCACAAGACAAAATACTTAAACATCTTTTTGAGATAAGCCGCTCTTTCTTTTTGGCTCCTCTTCTTAGAGGTCCTCTGATTTCCATGAGATGTGGAAGTTTACTACTAATCTCTTGAAATAGCTTTTGGATGGAATCCTTTGACATTTTACTTT